TCTTCCAGTTGGGTTCCTGCTGTACTGGTGAATTCCTGATTGTGAACAGTCTAGAAAAAGATTGTGGAATAGAGTGATATCATCTCTTCCTGCTGTTTTGGAGATAGCATTGTGTGCCATTGCCCTAGAGCAATAAAAAAATGTAAATGCTAAATTTCTTATCGAAACAAACCAGAAACTCTGTTGAATTTGTATTTCCTGTCTTTGATTTGCCTCTCTGCGTAGGTTGCTTTATTTCATCCCATGCCTACATCTCCTCTTTTCCTACAATGTTAATGTCTCATTTTATGCTCACCTGGGAGATGTTATCAGATATATGCAAAGCAATTCCTGCGTTGCTAAGCTATTTTGAAGATTGTCATAATGCCCCATAAACTACATAAATGGGAAATTTTCTTACACAAATGTCTCTCCACTTCATGGTTTTCTGTCTGTGTCTGGCGTTACATAATGACAAAAATGTGCTGCCCGGAGATGGTAGGACATGAACTGAGGGTGAAGCTTCTGGGACTGTGACATATCTTAGTCCCTTTTAGGCTCTCTTTAGGGGACTCTCTTAGAGGTGCCATGAGTCCTTCAGTGGGTTGTTTTTCCTTCAGATCTCTTGGGAAGAGTAACCTGCGCCTGCTGCTCTTCAGGCGAACCGATCTTTAAACAAGGAGGCTGCGGCAGAGGGGTGCCTTTTCAGTCAAGCCTAATGGGGGAGTTTATGTAACACAACAAAAATAAACAGAAACATCACTTCTAAATTGAGCTGTTATTTCTCCCGCAGAGTAATTATTAATCAATAAACCTTGTATCTGACAGCATCAGAGCGTGCTAAGTGCTCTGAGCTACCTTGCAGTCTGCTAGTAAACTAACCTTGGAGAGAAAATGTTATTAACTGTAAACATGATCACCTCTGGCACGTGTATGAAAGCAGCAGGGTCTCTCACTCAGAGTTTTTGCTTCCCCATGCACTAGCTGTTTTGCACGGGTACAGTTTAACAGCACGACTCAGAGCTGTGGGTATTGCGCACCATTCCAGCCATCACAGCGTCCAGTAGCGTTTGGGCCAAAACGGGTTTCCAGATGTTAGGTTCAGAGTCTTTCCAGTTGCTTATTTCTCCAATAACATGTTTCAGATGGATTCTAATGCTGCAAGGCAAAGGTGAATGATCACTAGTAGAACAAGATGGGGATTTTACCATTAAGCTATTTTATAGATGACCTCTCTGAAAAATAAATAGCGCTGTTCTCCAGGGCATCTGTTACTGGATACTGATGAAGATGGGGCATGAGACAGGACATAGCTTTCATGTCAGTAATAATTGCTCTGTTCCTGTGGAGCTATTTGCTCTGCTATTGATGCACAAACAGAGGACAGTGCAAGTCAAAATGCAAACAATGCTGAAAAACAAGTGTTTTCAACACAGAGCAGTAAGATACTGTAAGAAAGTTTTGGGGTTCTCTTGCAGACAGCATATTTCTTGACATGCACTTGCCTTTCTATAAGAGGAGCTAGTTTTTGGGCTATTTACTGGATCCATCACACTTCAACATTTTTCTTTCAAAACATGTTTTTAAAGTAGCAAAACAAAAACATTCTTCCTTGGACTCTTCAGGATAAAAGTACTGTCTAAGGTATTTAAGTGCTGTGTACAAACAATATCCACCCTGGGGTACAGCAAAGTCTTGGAGCCTAAGTACTTGACCATGGAATAAATGGAAATATTTCCTTCTAAGGTCTTGCCTTTGGTCACATAAAAAGAGGAAAAAGCCAGACCAAAACATGAGCTCCCTTTGAAGTAGTCATTTTAAAAGGCAGAATGCCAGCATGGTTGCATCAAGAGACTTCAGAGAATAAAAACACCAGCACTTTGTTGTTTACATCTCTGAAAAGGGGAAGTATAGCAAAGTTTTACTGTACCTGTTTCTCCTTCCATGTTCATGGTGCTGCATTGCTGTATCATGGAACGAGCGTAAGGGGCTAATAACTCCCATCTCACAACAGCTCAGTAGTGATTAGCGGAGGAAGTTCTGGTGCAGATGCGTCACGGCTGAGGCTGCTTTGCGCTGTTCAAATAACACACAGGAGTTTTAGAGGACTAGCTTGAATAGCAAACTTGGGAAATCATGGAGTGCCTTTGCTCTAAGTGGTCTCCTCTCAGCACGGGCTGGGGAGGTTGGTAGGAGCACGCTGCGTTCCAGTTACTCATCACTAGCAAAACAGTCCCTCTGAGCATGCTATGAACTGGTGTAAGCTGTACTGCTGATGCACTTTGCCCTTTCTCTTCCTCTCCTGCACTCAGGAAAAAATGTAGCATAGTTAGTTAGAGTTCCAGGCCCCTGTGTTCGTTGTAATTAGGAATTTTACAGGCACTTTCAAGGGAACTGAGAGAGATTTAGTATAGAGAGCAACATGGGATCTCTCTCTGTTAGCAAAAAATAATCCAACCAGTATCAGAGGCAGCTTCTTCTAAGTTAAAATGACATCTCATGCAAATCAATTTGTCACTGGCCCAAGTTCTCTGCAATAGAAGACAGAACTTCTATGAAACCTGAAATTGATGTTGGCACTTATTGCTGGATTGTAAACAAGCTCATCCTAAAGTCTGTTTGGAATTAATTGCAAAAATGGCTATCTATCCACATAGCGAGTTCTTTGTACACACACTCTGGGGTGAATGCAAAATATGACTGTTTGCACACAATCCCTCCCAAGTCTTCTGCTGCAAACATTCTGATTACTCAAGTCTCCTTGAGAGCAGATGGGGGAAACAGAAATATTTTTATAGCTGTGGGTACTTCAGTGACTTAGGACACACAAGTTAATTGCTAGAGAATGGGCTGGGATTCTGTTCCTGCGTAAGGCAGTTCTGTGTTAGGTGCTGTGCCTCTGTCACTGTGTTGGCAGAGGCCACGGAGCTGATACAGCATGAGCCAGGAGAAGGAGTTCTCTGTTTCTGTAGGTACTCCAGCCATCCTGCATGAACAACTGGGCTGGCACTGAGAGCAGCTCTCTTGTTCTCTTGGCACGGCTGTCTGTCGTGGGGCTTTGTAAACATGCTGAGCTTGGCCAAGAGTTTGAATTTTTCGTATGTGGTGTTTACACAGCTATGCTGGCGAACCTTTGTAGTCTAGATATGGCCTGAGTTGTGCTGTGATTGCAGGGAAGTTGCTGCTGTTCCCTGTGAAGACTTTAGTAATAGAAATGCTATTAAATACTGTGGTAGGTATTATTTCTGTGTAAAGTGCTTTGAGGTTTCTAAAAGCCCCTCCAGTTCTGCCTTGCAGTAAAATTTAATTGTGCTCTGGAGGCTCCTCGACTGCATTGGTTTGTGTTGAGGCAAGCTGAAACTGGACAAACTTTTTAATTCTGGGGTAAGTTATGACCTGAGAATGGTGGAGGTGGGAAAAGATTGTTGTCTTGTGCTTCAGAGAACACTGTGGAGAAAAACTAGCATGTCCTCAAACAACAGAAATTATGGAAGGACCAAACAAATAAACAGATCAAGTTCTTCCAGTGCCTGTCATTCCCACTGCTCCAGCCTCTGAGGATTAAGGAATTTTGGGTCACTTTTCAAGGCTGTAGCAGTTGCATTTGTAAGCAATATATTTTAGTAGCTTGCTGTCCTATCTGCATAGTGCCTGACTTCTGTATGAACGTTTTAGTAGGTGCTTATTTTGACCGGGATTTTTTTTTGTTTATTTATTGTCAAGCATTAGAAAATTAAACTCAAGAGATTGACTGAAATGTGTCTCATCACATAAAAGCACTTACAAGACAGGTCAATTTTACTCCTGTTATAATCACACAAACTCCCATTAACTTGTGTTACAATTCCTGTTTTTATCCAGGAATAAGTTTGGTCCATTCTGTTCACTCTGAGCAATTTCAGAGCATCAAATTTCTCTGCAGCAGCAAAACCAACAAACCTTCCAGCTCTGGCAAGTATAACGACCGTTCTGTGTCATAAACAGTGCTTGCCCCACGGAAGTTTTGAAATACTTCATGTCTTACCAATTCCCTAGCAGATGAGTGTTTGAAACATAACATTATTTATAATTATGCATTAAGATGATGACAGTCCTGTTCCTCAAACCACCTTCCAAACATTTCTGTTACTTAAAGGGATTATTGAAAACATTAAGTAAAGTCTGAGTAACTCTACCTGCAGCATGAAACAGTTCAAATGGTTTGGTGGTTTTGTTTTGTTTGGATTTTTTTGTTAAGGTGTTGCGTTTGACAACAGCCCTGCAGTCAGGTTATGCAGATACGCTGTGAAATCAGATTGTTCTTCACTTGGACAGAATTTTATCACTTGGGCAAGGTTGTTTTAGAGCCAGGAGAGCATGCATCAGGTCTTCTGTTTTCTCTTTAAAACAGTTCACAAGGAGAAAGGAAGGGAAGGTCCTTCTACCCTTTGCACTGCTGTTCAAGGGTTATGCAAACATATCCCTGCCCCACTCGCCCAGGTTGACTGGGAGGTACAAGGTGGCTGCTCTCACTCTCTTCACTTTTTATTCTCTTTATATGTCTTGGGTTTTCCTCGCCAAATCTGTAACAGCAGATATGTGAGCCTTACTGAAGAGATGCTCTGCTTTGGAATTTGTGCAAAATCTGGAGCTTCAGAAGAAGAGAAAACATTAAACTGGAATTATATCCACAGTCACCTCCTTTACTGCCGAAGTTTAGCAGCAGTGGCCACTGAGGAAGCCAATGTGTCGTGTTTAATCAGAGGACTAATTACCAAGCCTCTTGACTGGCTTTGAGTTCTGTTTTTACTAAATGTCTTTTATGTAAAACACTTAATTCCTCCCCATTTGAGATGAGTAGGTTAAAACATTGTATTCCTGAAATTTCACAGAAGTGCTGGTGTGCTGTGAGTGACAGAACATCGTGTAGATTGAATCCTATCTTAGGAAGCGAGTAAACCTCTGTATTCTCTATAAAGTAAGTCGCATGTCTCTGAACTATCTCATTGGGTTTACCAGAGTTCTGTTCATCTCTTGCAGGCATTATGCTGCTTGAACTAGTCCTGGTTCTGGGGGCAGTCATCACCTACTTCTTACTTACCAAGAAGAAAGAAGAGACATTACACTTCAAAGATGGATGGTGGGGCAAGGGACAAAAGCCTGTCATTGAAGAAAATACAACTATTTGGCCATTTAAGGTGGAAACTACAGAAGAAGAACTGAGCGTAAGCAAATCTCTGTACTGGAGAGAGACAAGTATGAAATGGCCAAATGTAGAACTTGTTTGGAAGTAATTGTTAAATGGAACCAATAGTTACATTTATGAGATTGAGCAATTCTGTCCAGGACGTGGGGGAAGGGATTTTTTGGTACTTCAGAACATAAGTATGGATAGGCAGGGTTCACATCCTGCTATAGAGTTTTGTTCTCAGCTGGTTGCTAGTAAGTAAACTGCTAGTTGATTGCTGGCTGCTAGCAAGGTTGCTAGTAAATAAACCTACTCTTTAAAGCCTAATAAATATACAAATCATATTACAGATTACTCAACTCTGTGTTCCTGTTTGTGTCCCTTCCTCAGTTTGATTGTGCAGGCCAGAGTAAGAACAATGTCTTCTTTTTTCTTTCAAAAGCAGTTATGAATATCTCATTTTCTTCACTGCTTTGTTTGCAGCTGTGTTGGATGCTGATTCTTCTGTAATTAATGATCTACTTTGGTCAACACTAATAGCACAGTGGTAATTACAGTAAACACATACATTGCAGAACTTGTTAGACAGCAAGATTTTGATTGTGTGTTTAAATCAGGGATTGCACAATTTCATAGATCTGTGTGGAGCAGTGGTTCAAACAGTAATTATGGGATTGCTCCTATTATTTATAATGGGTTCCTATTTTCTCAGTAAGGTTCCGGTTTTTTGAACGCTTTGTTTGCTGTTCTTAGTAATATCAGTGGATATTGATCTCCAATATGTTTTCCCCTTACACTGCACACACAGAGCTAGATGATTTCTAACTTACAGGTGTTTTTGAAACACGCAATTCTGTATTATGACAACTATTGCAACATAATCCATTGGTAGAAAACTGTTTTGAAATATATTTTTACATAACCTAGGAATTAAAGTTATGTTAGAATACATTATTAAAACATTTTATTAAAAGTGTTGAGCAAGGCCAAAAAGCATGTATGTAAAGACATGTTAAAAACTTCATTGAAAAATCCATGCTTTCTGCACACCTGTTAAATGCCCAAAACAGTGAGTTTATGTACTAACATCTGCCTAGACTGAGACTGCCTGTTCAGTGTGAGGCGTGAGCCAGTGCATGCACCTAACTCATCTTAGCCTCTCTCACTGCATTAGAAAATGCTGTTCAGGTTTTAACCCCACAGAGGTTTGAGCAGGATTAGATTTCTAGACTTGCCTTCCACCCTCAACTATTCTGTGGTTCTGTTTGCAGTAGGAAGGTGCTCCTGACTGTCCTTCCCTGGTGAGTGATTTTTGGACTGATTTTGCAGTATCATCAGCATCCCCTGTAACCCTGAAGTGCAGTAGGAAGGTCACTTTGTTATTCTAGATTGAGAAACGTTCACTCCAGTCTAGTTTCAATAACTTTGTGGCCATGTGAAATCCCTCTGAGTGTTCCTCAGTGAAGATAACCAGCCCTTTGGTTTGGGAAGTAGAGCAAAAGGTTTGGGCCAGATCTATGCATTGACTGAGAGGCTGGGCTCACAGGTAACCCGGGGAACAAAGTACCATGGAAAGGCACAGTGCTGTCAGAAAAGTGTATTGTCCTTGATGATCAGCCTGGCAAACAGATTAGCCAGCCCTGAAAAACAAGGCAGAGTGTTTAAGAACAGCTGTAAATGGAGAAGAGGAAGGAGGCCATCTGGAGGAGAGAAAGAACTGGAACAGCTGATGGAGCATCAGCAAAATGGACAGGTGTCATTAGAGATGTTATTTTTGTTGTTCGCGTTTCACTTGGGAATAACTAGAAACCACGCACGGGAGAGCACATGATGGCAGACACAGGCGTTTGTAATGTCTCTTCTTTCTTTTTCCCTGTAGGACTTATTTAGGAGACTTGACCAGGCTCGATTCACTGAGCCACTGGAGAACAGTTGCTTCCATTATGGGACTAACTCAGCGTATCTCAAGAAGGTTGTCTCCTACTGGAAAAACCAGTTCAACTGGAAGAAACAAGTTGAAGTCCTCAACAAATACCCACAATTCAAAACTAAGATTCAAGGTGTGTGGCTTTTTCCCTTCAAAAATAAACAGTAATACATAGGGATACAAGGGATCTCAGTGGTAGGAATGCTATGGTTGTTTCGAGTGCTACCCTTCCCTCCCTGCTGCCATGGCATGGATCACTGGCACTGCTGCTGAAGCAGTGAGAAACTCCTTCATCCTAACTGAAGCCTTTAGGACAAGGAATGACAAATGGAATTCCCTTGTGCATGGATGGGTTGTCAGCTGGTGTTAACAGGAGCCAAGCACAGGCATTTGGAAACAGAACTGGATTTTAAGATGTACACATGTTCCCTGACTTGCATGCAGTCATGCAAAAAATAGCCAGAGATGCCCAGCTGCTGCTGTCATGGTGATGCCATCAGTCTGGCAGCCCTCCTCATGCTGGCTTCTTAGGTTGTCCCTGCAGGGCAGATGCGCTCTGCTGCACCACTTCAAGGATTCATAGGCCTTGTAGGCCTAGAAATGCAGAATGCCTTTCCCTTGGGGTTGAGTGCTGCCAGGTGTGAGTGAATGGTTTGCCTTTTCATTCAAAGCACAGACACCTTTTGAAAGAGGCTGTCCAGCTAAGGTGGGACAGTTCATAATATTTAAAATGGAATTGGGACAATAAACAGTTGTTACATAGTGGTTAGCACATAAAGATTTTATTTAAATGTATACAACATGGTTAGTGCTGAGAAAGATAAAAGCAAAAAGTCTTCCCTAAAAAAAAAAACCAACCCAGGTATCATCTGAGACAAGAAAGGGTAAAGAAGCTAAGGACAGTGTGCTATGTATAGCAATAGGAAGAGAAATGTCAATGTTAGGAATGATAACAGAGATGAGCCATGAAAAGACAAGAACAAACATGCTGTATATTGGATTCCTAGCTTCTTTCATCACTTGAAAGTTTTTCAGAGAATACAGAAATTCACAGAATTGTCAAGGATGGGGAAATCTCAGTCAGTGAAAGAGAGGGGGATTGCTGGAGAGCTGGAGTTGCTGTGAGTAAAATGTGCTTACATACATCAAGAAATGAGGCATTCAGGTGCTACTAGGAGCAAATTATTGTTTCCTGGAAAGCAGAACCCTGAATGGGTTCGAGGAAAAGCAGTTCAGCTGAAGCAACTAGTGCAACGCTTTGTGAAGCCTACTGCTTACATATTGTAAGGATCACAAAGGAAACAGGACTGCAGTTTTCACCTTCTTACTTAACAATGAGGAGACTGGTACTAGAACATAGCTTCCTGTTTTGGTCTCCTCAGTTAAAGAGATACTGAAAGCTTTGGACAAAAGGTAGGAAAGAACTACAGAATTGAACACTTCAACTTGCTTTTAGCAAGGCATTTTTACAAATCCTTGATTCAGCCTGATCAGATTATCAGCAGTTAAGATGTGTGACTTGATTACAGGAGACCTACAGAGAGAGAATACTTAGCGAAGGCTTTTTAAATTCTATGTGCTGTTAATATTAAGATCCATGGCTGGAGACAGAAGCCAGACAAGTTCAAATGCGAAGTAAGGTATGCACAAAACAAGGAAGGTGATTAATGTCCCCAAGCAAACAGCTGCTAGTTATGATGGATTCCCTATCTCTCCATGCCTTCACATTGCAACTGTATGCCTTTCAGGAGGAAAAATCTGTGGTTGGCTGAAGCCTATCTGGTGCCATATAGGGACATTTGGGTAAAATTTAAGGGCACTTGGACTAAATGATCGAATCCTCTCTTCTGCCTTTAAGCTGTGTGAGTCACTGTGTCACTGTTAGTAGATTGCTCCGCTTCTATGCCTTGATTTACCAATATATTTTAAAACAGAAATATGCTGACCTCATTTAGTTAGTGTGGTGCTTAATTGCCCATTATAAAGTACTTTAAGGTCCTTGGATAAATGGATCCAGGGAAGTGCAGTCTGTTTTCACGCTCACCAAAAAAGGACTTCAGAAAAGATCTATTAATAACCTGTTCCGTGATTAGTTTTAGTGTCATGGTAAATTTGGGCATGTTAATTAATTATTTTATTTTTACAGGCATTGATATCCATTTTGTTCATGTAAAGCCTCCTCGTTTGCCTGAAGGCCGGTCTGCAAAGCCATTATTAATGGTTCATGGTTGGCCTGGCTCATTTTACGAGTTTTACAAAATCATTCCTCTCCTGACGGATCCTGCCAGCCATGGCCTCAGTGATGAACACATTTTTGAAGTCATTTGCCCATCTATCCCTGGTTATGGTTTCTCAGAAGCACCCCACAAAAAAGGTACGATGTGTGAGAAGAAACTGAACTAATACATGCCTGATCTTAGAGTGAGATAGCCCTTCAGCAGAACAGTAACTCCTGGCTCTTCCTGTTTTCCCAGCGTAGAAACAAAGATCCTATGTGTCATGTGGGAAGAGGGAGATAAGAGTGTGACTTCAGGTGACACCATTAATTAGTTTCAGGAGCAATGTATAGATAATTTACAGAGGGCTATAAAATTTATGAAGTGACAACTCATGAACTGTAATTGAGCCAATGACTTGTGAGCAGGAAGAGTAACCTTAATTTGTTACTGTTCCTTTTGGGTGTTTTGAATCCACATTCAACAGCATTATACAGGTAGGTAAGAAGCAACAGTTGAAACAAATCAATGTTGTATCTGCCTACGTGGTAGATTGCAGCAAAATACCTGCTTGTTCAGTTTGTGCTCTGAATTACACAAACACAAGCTGCAACAAACTGGAGCAGGTATTTTAATATATCATAGATGTATGAGATACTGAGTTCAGTGTTTAATTATGTGTGCAGGTGAAGGATGTAGGAAAGGTTAGTTTTAGTTTTCTCATCTTCCCCAGTTATGATTGATGTGGTCAGCATTTAGTGGGGAAGTGCATTACTAGTGGAAGAAACCTGAAGTTTCCAGCTGTCATTAACATGAGACTGTGCTCACAGTCCACAAAATGTGAACACATTCCCTGGGGAACGCTCAGTGCCTCTGACAGGGCTCAGCTGGAGTATGACTAGAGTTTACAGGGAGTCTGGCAGCCCCTCAGTCGAACAAGCACGTGGGCAACTGGTGGGGTTAGGAGAACACTGGTCTGCAACGGAGGCTGGACTTCTCATGGTTTCTGCTTGTTCTCTGGACCTTCCCTGGATGATGTGACAAGATTTTCTGTATAGTCTGTCAAGACAGGGAAGGAAAAATAGACTTGGAACTTTTTAGGAACTTGTATATTGCCTTTCTGGGGAGAATACAGTGCAGTTGGAAGTGTTGCTGGAATTAACACAACAGTGTTGTTGTTGTTTGTTTTTTTTTTTTAATGCAGACTTTAATTCCGTAAGTGCTGCTTCTGTTTTTTATGAATTGATGCTCAGACTGGGATTCAACGAGTTCTACACACAAGGTGGTGACTGGGGCTGGCTCATCTGCACCAATCTGGCCCAGATAGCTCCCAAGTGAGTACCCCTTTGGTACAGTGCGGCATGATTGGCATGCAAAGCTCGTCTATTCTTTAACTAGTTATTTCTTGTGTGCTTAAGAATTCCTGTCCTAGTCTTCGTGTGAGCACTGTGTAGTTTCTCTCTTCAGTGCTCAGTGTTAAGCAGTGATCCAGAATTACATGCCTTAGTTTATAGTATATACCTATTCTTTCAAACAGTGGTGCAGTAGTTTTGTAGTGGCCCCACTGGGGTCTGGAGTGGGAAAAGTATTTGTAAAAGAAGGAGGATTTGTGGCTTAGTGCCCAGGAGTGTGTGCTGATTACTGACAGCTGCCCCTTTGACTTGTCATTTTTGTGTGAAAAGCCACACTACAAAGTGCAGCTAAGGTCATGATGTATTAGCAGGTTAAAATTTAAGTATATCCATTTGTATTAATAACATTTTAAATATAACAACTTTGAATCATATTTTTGTTAATTTGTGGGGGCTTTTTCTGTTTTTATTTTTAGCCATGTGAAAGGTCTCCATTTAAATCTAGCCTCAGTTACGAACGTGGGATTCACTCACCTGCTCTCCATTCTGCTGGGCCGCTATCTTCCAGGGCTCTTCGGTTTCCAGGATGAAGATGTCAGGCGGATGTTTCCCTTCTTGCAAAAAGGGGTCTACAGGATCTTGTTGGAGTCTGGCTATGCTCACATACAGGCTACAAAGCCCGATACTGTTGGTAAAACAAACAAACAAAAAACCCTTTTGAGCTCAGAATACTTGGTCTGTTCATTTTAGTTGTACTTTCATAGAAGCAAAACGTACTGCTTAAAATATGCAGAAAACCTTTTTTTTTTCCCCCAGGGAAATTGAAGTAGGAAGGTTAGAGATTTTAAAAGGTGGGCTCCGTTTCTATATCAAAGTCAGAAAAGGTAACATACAGGTATATAGCATTACACTCACTTCTGCATGCAGAAATGAGAAATCTGCACATCAAAACTGAGCATGCTCTACGTGCCACTGACCTCATTTTCAGTTTTCATAAGTAAAATGATTTATTTAATACTTTTCCACTTCTGCTACCACGGGGACTGTAATTCTATTTCAAATGCAGCTTTGCTGAGAGCAAAAGATAGTTTCTTCACAGAGAATGGATCACTTTCAAATGATGTAAACTACAAGAAGCTTTTAGCTGTCTCAGCACGCAGTGTAGCATATTTATAGGGATAAGTAATACCTGAAAAGTAAAATCAAATTTAGTTCTCCCTCATTGTTCTGAATCACTTGCAGACTTTCGGGGGGGTGGGAAAGAAAGTGTACCTATGAATGTTCTTTATAGATGAGCTAGTTGCTCAGATTGCTTAACTACTTTAAGTATCTGAGTATTAAGTGTTTCTATTTTAAAACCATCTTTTGCAACTGAATTGGACAACTGAGTCAAGAATACTGAATGTATTTTAGTTTAGTGCAGCAGCAATTCACTCACTGTGGATTTTATTAAAAACATAGCTAAGGAAACTATTTCTTAATGGTTTTCCATAAGCTTACCTACAGAAACAGATATATTCTTAAAACGTGTAGGCAAAATGATGATTTTATGGATTTTAAATAATTTTGGATTTTAAATTATTTAAATAATAAACAATTTTGCTTCCTTGAAGTTTTGGTTTCTAAAAATTACTAGTCTCTACTGCCTTTTGTGCTTTAAGAAAAAAATGGGAAGCTGGTGGCTGCAAGATGCCTAGTCATGCTCCTTCTGCTGTGTTCTGGCAGATTCCTGTCCCTACCAGTAACATGTGGTCTGTCTGAGCGGGCTGCACAGACTAGGAACCAGCAGCAAATTCATGTTTTGGGAGCTGGAGCAGGAGCATTC